TATTTGTTCTGAAACCTTATTTTACAATCTGGAGTGAAAATACGACGAAGGAAGAGAAAAACGTAATCTTTAATACAAAATATACATATATGTATATGTACAACGTATGGAATTATTTTTTTCATCACGGAACATGTTCAATAACATATTTAGAAACAAATAATATTGTTCGAGATATATTTAGATTTCTAACTTTAAATAAATATTTTTAATAGACCTTTTTTAGTTAAATACGAATTTAGAACATATACTATACCTGGGGGCAGCATATAGCTAATTTTTAGAAAGAAATAGATTCTAGCGCCAATTTTTGACCCCCCCCACCCCGATATGTATTTTTCAATCGCAGAGATCTCTCTCTCGAAATTTTATTATACTGCTTATACAAATGAGTTTTCCTTCAATTTTTTGTGACTAAATACCCCATTTGAAAAAGTATCTAAATGCAAAAATTACATTTAATATAATGTATATAAGTACTGGTTACTAGGATAAAAATCCAAGCTTTCAATAACTCTATTATATCTACAACCATCTTGTCTATTAATTATTCTGATAACAGATGGCAGATAAGTAGATACTAGAACAAGAAAATTTTGACGATGGTCGATAAAGAACAATACCTACGTGTCAAATGTTTTCATAGAATGTATTCATTTTATACATAAGTTTTATTAAAGTTGATTTGTGTAATTTGAATATTCATGTCGTTCAAAATGAGATGATCTTTGCAACATATTTCAAAGTGATCTGAGAGAAAGATCCTTTTCGCAATAATTGTCAAAACATATTCTCATTCGTACAAATTTTGTGTTAAAAAAATTGTTGGAAGTTAATAATTGGAAGACTAGGAAAATATCTATCTTTGACTAAATAATTATTAGTAAATTATTTTTACGTTACTTTTCATTTCCCGCGCATTTTGTAAACGTAACAAGTAAATACATACATATATGCATCATAGATGCAAAATTATGAATAACATTCCTCTTTAATTTACATTCGGCTGTAATAAATAATGTTACTTCCCACGTTCCAGCTTAGGATTACTTGTGTACGAAAATTTAAAGCACATTATAATTTATGAAACGACTGAACATACGATTACGGAAAGTTACTAGGTAAGTACACTTCCCATGACGAATATCCGGACACCAGATATGTATGTATCTATGTACATACTATACATGCTCAACCTGCGTACAGTTGAAACAACTTGAATTTCGATCATTTGGACGTTGGCACATGTGCGTATCCAAAACATTCTACAGGCCCTAAGTTTCGTATTTATTTATTATCATTTAACGAGAAATATAAGAACAACATGTCACGCTGTGTAAAAAATGCAGATGGTGAAATTGAAGTGAAGACAGGTTTGTACTTTCTTATTTTTTACTTGTATATGCGCACGCGGTTTTTCTGGTTAACGACTACATGTAACAGTCAATTCGACATTGAATACACCACAATGTAGGAAAATCAGTTTTCATAACGTGGAATACAATACGAATTCACCTTTTAAATGTTTAACACATTTATTTTATAAAATTTCAACTGTCTTTTCCGTACTTTATTATTCCATTCATTGTATTTATAGGTCGCAGAACTCGAAGTATCATTAATTCAGAAACAGTCGATTCTCCGTTACGTCGTAGTTCTCGTGTCAAGCATGCTGGAAAACAAAATGAATCTTCTCCTGAATCACCTCCAAGTGACAATAGTAACATTAATAGTACACCATCAGTGAGAAACACAAGACGTCGAATAGATGCTTTGAATAATTCTGCACTGTCAGAGAGGAGTAGAACATTACGCTCCAGAAGGAATTCTGGCCTTGATGAGCAAACTAGGTAATATACGATGGTTTGTAACATGTCAGTTACAAGTCTCTAACTGAACAGGTCAATTGTGGCTCAAAACTGCCAATCCATTAAGTATTTAGTATTTTAAATGATCATATTCAAATAATGTTCATAGTTTTAGCAAGCAACATACAAGGGCTGGCTCTGAATCTAAATCTCCACCAACTGCAGCCAGACCTACACGTAGAACAAGAGCTAGTTCTATGGAGCCTGCAGCAAACATAGAAAATAATGATATGAAAACAAATAATAGTGAATTAGTACACACTCCTATTAACACCAGAAAACGTAGGTCTATATTACCAGCAGGAAAACCCGTAATTGAAGAAAACGAAGAGATAATGAATCCTGTAGTAGCATTGGACCGTGTACTGCCCAACCTTCAAGAAATAAACGAAACATGTACGTAGTTGTTTTGTATCTTATATATAGTTAAATTTACTTTATGTACTTTCTTTATCTTAACTTAAATATTTAATTTATGTATCATAATAAAACCCTGACTCACACTGAATGTATATCAAATTAAATTTTAGGCTCTGAAAGTTTCACTACAGAAGATGTGAATAAATCAGTGCCTGTGTCAAAGAATGAAGTTGACACAGTTCTTGAAGATACATGTAAAGAAGAAACAGATGCTGATATAAACGGTAATTCTGATTCATTCAAATAAACTATCTTGTTTTTTACATTCATATTATACATATATTAAGTTCATAAAGAGATTTTCACTTTTCATCAATCAGATTAGATTTTAATTTAAAATAAAATCTTATATTATACAAAATTGAAAACTAGTTTCTACATGTAATATTTCAGCTTTAAGCAAATAACAAAGAATTAAAAAATTATTTTATTATGATAATAATGATAAAAGATCCAGTTTTAATTTAATTTATATTCAAAATCATTACAGCCAGAAAAGAAAACACTAATCCTGCGGAAAATTCTCCTATAAAAGCAGTTGAAGAAGTAAAAATGGATACGTCTATTAATAAACTCATAGTATCAGATAATAGTGAAAGTATAAATGATTCTATAAATACTACACAAGTGGAGTCACCGATAGAAGATGTAACAAAAACACAGGCTCAAAAAGAAGAAGTCACACCCAGAAAATTGGGAATGAAAAATGGAAGCTATGCAAACAATTCTATAAAAGAAGATGATGAAATTCTCGGTAACAAGGAGAACCAAGAGGCAAATATTATTGACAATTCTAAAAATACAGATGTCACAGTTTCCAATGTATTATTGCAAAGTCCAAAACTTGCAGTGAGTAATTTATGTGTTGGAAAATCAGTCAAAGAAAGTAATGAAAATGCAGACAGCTCAGATAATATGCNTGATTCATTCAAATAAACTATCTTGTTTTTTACATTCATATTATACATATATTAAGTTCATAAAGAGATTTTCACTTTTCATCAATCAGATTAGATTTTAATTTAAAATAAAATCTTATATTATACAAAATTGAAAACTAGTTTCTACATGTAATATTTCAGCTTTAAGCAAATAACAAAGAATTAAAAAATTATTTTATTATGATAATAATGATAAAAGATCCAGTTTTAATTTAATTTATATTCAAAATCATTACAGCCAGAAAAGAAAACACTAATCCTGCGGAAAATTCTCCTATAAAAGCAGTTGAAGAAGTAAAAATGGATACGTCTATTAATAAACTCATAGTATCAGATAATAGTGAAAGTATAAATGATTCTATAAATACTACACAAGTGGAGTCACCGATAGAAGATGTAACAAAAACACAGGCTCAAAAAGAAGAAGTCACACCCAGAAAATTGGGAATGAAAAATGGAAGCTATGCAAACAATTCTATAAAAGAAGATGATGAAATTCTCGGTAACAAGGAGAACCAAGAGGCAAATATTATTGACAATTCTAAAAATACAGATGTCACAGTTTCCAATGTATTATTGCAAAGTCCAAAACTTGCAGTGAGTAATTTATGTGTTGGAAAATCAGTCAAAGAAAGTAATGAAAATGCAGACAGCTCAGATAATATGCAAAATGTGATGGTAACTGACACAGACTCATTAAATGAAAGTCCACTTAGTGAGAGTATGGATGAGAAAGTTTCATGTATTGAAGTATGCGAAGATTCAAGTCTAGATGACAACATACAAATCTTGAAATGTCCAGAAGATGTTAATGACATGAAATTAAGTCAGTATAGTGACATTGAGGATCAGAATACATCATCTGCAGATACAAATGTTGATAAAAATAGAGATGAAGAAATAGGCGCCGACAAATCTCTTAGATTGGAAACCAGTATGGAAGAACTACAGCATATTACTTCAGAAGATGGAACAATTAATAACGATAAAAATGTTGGGCCGCCATTAACTCCAAAAGCACACACTAATACACATGAGGGGGATCCGAAAGACGTTTGTTTAACTCCCATTGAATATGCAAGTGATAAATGTGAAGCGAACGAAGAAACTGCAACTTCAAATATATCCAAAAACGTAACAGATGCAGATATTATGAACTGTTCCAACTGGTCTGACATATCTATATCGAAGACAACTACATCTTTGTCATTAGCGACCAATGATTCTACTAAAGACGATTCTGCAGGTATCGAAATGGTTACAGAAACTCCTAGTCAAGAAAATGTAGGGAAAGAATCTTCAGATGTTGATATCAAATTAACTGATATTGAAACTACTAGTGTAGTAACAGATAAAGATAATATTACTAATGAAACTGAAAATGATAAATCTTGCAGTGATGCACAGTCTTCAGCTGAGTCTATTGAGAAAGTACTTGAAAAAGATGACGAGACACTAACCACCTGTACAATGGATGGCAGCATGACGTTCGATAGTGAGTGTTTGTGTGTGTTCTGTTCCAACACACAGAATAAAACGGAAGAAAATGAAATTCCTAAAATGTTTGAAAAGCATGACGAAAAACCGGAAGACGAGAATCAGTCCGATTCAAATGTGTCTAGAGAATTATTTAAAGATATTTCAGCTGATGAATGGAGAGATAAGATTTGTGAGACAAATTCTGTGCACTCCATGTCAACTGAACGATTAGAAAACGAAAGTGAGAATGAATGTGATGACTTTGTTTTGGTTGATAAGGAATCGCCCCAAACACCAGAAAATAGAAACATCAATAAAAAGAAGAGAGCATTAAATTACGATTCAGAGGATACAGTTCTACTGAAAACGCAAAAGGATGAATTGAAAGAAAAAAGAGAAGAAAGTGTGACTGTATCAAAGGTTCAATGCGAAATGAATAAAAATAAATTAGCTGAAGTAATAAATACTAGAAAATCTATGCAACAGGAAGAAATTAACGAGATAAAAAGTGATACGAATAATCTAGAAGTTGAATCACAAGATCGAAAAGAGCCTATGCAAAATCAGATAAAAGACATACAAAATGTATCTCCCAGAAAAGCTAGTGCAATCGAAGTATCTAATCAATTTACACCTGCAAATACTACTTCAATTGAAGACTCAGTAGATAGAAATTTACTAACTGAAACTGACCAAAATTTAAATATGCCATCTACAGAATCATCTTTGAATAAATGGAACAGTAAAAATAAATTAAACGATGGTTTATCACGCAAATCTAAATCAGTTGAAAAACTAGATGATGAAGTTGAGAAATTCGGTGAAGCTGATACTGTGGAAGAAAAGGAATCAATGAATAAGTCACCCATTGACTCATCATCAAGTGCAAGTGATTCAAACAAATCAGTTGAAAAACTAGATGATGAAGTTGAGAAATTCAGTGAAGCTGATACTGTGGAAGAAAAGGAATCATTGATTAAGTCACCCATTGACTCATCATCAAGTGCAAGTGATTCAAACAAATTAAATGAAAGTATAGACTCTGATATTGAAAAAGAATACAATTTGCATGGTGTGGATGTTTCTAAGTTTTCTTATGATGATGTACCAGGGGATGAATGTAGGGCATCAGAAACTGAATCATCAGATCCAGATGATCATGGATCAGATTTGGCAGATTTTGTAGTCAATGATGATGATGATGATATTGATGTTGATAATTTTGAAGATGAAGAAGACGATGATAATGATAACTCTGAAGTGGAAATTGAGCTGAGTGAAATTGATGAGGAATTATGCAGTACGCAAGATGATGATATTAAAAAATCCAATGAAAATACGATAGATGAACAATGCCCAAAAATGCAGGTACAAGAAGAAAGCGAAAAGGAAGAAATTGAAAAAGAAAAACAGAAGAGAACAGATACAAATACTTTTAGAAAAGATAAACATAAACCTACAAAGTCTAAGAAATTGGATTTGTCCAAAATTACCAGTAATGATAGAGAAATTACGAACTCTGAAATCGAATCAAGTAAGAAGAAGAAGAAGAGAAAAATCAAGATAGAAAGTAGTGATGATGAAGTTCATAAAGGTAATGAGGAGAATAATGAACGTAACAGGAAATTACTTAGTAGAAATCTTGTTAATGCAAATGAAGCTGACAAAACTGTAGTAAATAAGCAATATGGAAAAATGAAGGTGCAAGAAATCAAAGGAAAAGTAACTAAAAAGGAACAAGAGAAGGTAGGTGCAGATAAGAAAGATCGAGTAAGCGGAATCAAATCTACAGACACTACTGAGAAGAGAAGCAGTAAATTTAGTGAAACAAGGCAATTAGATTTATCTGAAAGTGGTAAGAATGTTAAGAGGAAATCTGAAATTGAAATAGTTAGCAAAAAGATAAAAAAGAACAAAACCAAGAATAATGATGAACGAATACAGAAAGAGAACGCTATACATACTTATAAAAATGAAAGTGCAAAATGTAGCACGGTAGAACTATCGAGGAAAGGTGTAAAACGACTTTCAGACGATGTTATTGGGAATCTTTCAGATGTTCCCATGAAAGTATTCCAAAAAGCTGATTTGCAAAAGCTGCCGTCACGTTTAATGCCTCACTCCTTACTTAAAAAAAATAAAATAAATGTGAAGCAGGGCTTCATGTCATTAAGTTCCTATGGAAGTACAAGTAACTTTTACGTTTCAAATATTCAGAAAATGAAGAAGGCGAAAATCACTTCGGAAGTGCTGTCATTCAGGCAGAACATGCTTAACAGAAATCCACGACAACCTATTTCACACTACACAATGTTTTTGGAGAAGCAAAAGGCTTCAAATAAACATTAGCTCAGTAATAAGACATATTAAATATCTGATTTATAATATGTACTATTGTTAATCGATAGGTGAACTTCAGTAGACTGATAATTTCTTCATTTTTATATATTATAAAGATTTTTTAGAGGTCCTAATTGTATGGAAACACTCTTTAATACAATTTTTCATATCTCTTAGTATGTTCTAAAAATCATGGGATTTTTATGGTACCGATTTTTGTGTTCTTATTAAAGGTATTTAAAATTCGAAAAATCACATGATAGTAATGATTGGAATTGTAGGCTTACTGAAGGTCCCTTAGATATCATTAAAACAATTGTTCTCGTCTTTTATTTTACAATGACTGTGCATAACCAATAATAACTATTGTAGTGTATCAAAAGAAACTTTTAAATGAGAATGTGAAATAAGTAAAAATTGATAGGAATGATTTTTGTATTGTATTAGAAAGAAGTTTTCAAGAAATGTTTGTGCCAACTTTATTGAAAGAATGATCAAGCTGTTGTATTGCAATGAAGTAAGGCGAATAGAAGCGTTATTAAATATGTGATGAACGGTTGATCACTTTGTTTCTTAAGTTGCTGTAAAGTTCTTTTCTACCATATATTATTACCGTGTATTAAATACCATAGTGTTACCGAATCATCCAATTTTTGTACTATAAGATTGTAAAAAAGATACGATGATCGTCTGTTTATGGTGTCTATCCCGCATGAAACGCGTTACATTTTGTATATTTGTAATGATATTTATAAATTTTAATTTTGCTGGATTTTCATGAATGATGTACGATTATCTTATATTGCAGGGGAAAGAATTGTTCTTTTATTATAACATTTGATTAAGAATAAATGTAAATAAAGTATCTTGTGTAATGTAATTTGCGTCTTGTGAATTTATTTCTATAACGCAGATCATATGCATATTGCTTAAAAATGTATTCAGTTTAAATTAAAATAAAAAAGACATTCAACATCATTATATAATATATATATATATATGTACAATATGCAGTGTTATTGACCCTAGAAAACTGTGAGAGGTACTCTGAAGATATACATACGTAATGATATATTTCTATTTCAGAACATAATATTGTACATACATCGAATTATATTATATATTATACAATATGTAATGTTACATATTAACTTGTCTATGATACGTGACCACGTGGGAATTCATGAACACATCGTTTACAGTAGTGATCGTATCATAGTATTCACACACAAGCTTGATACACGTGCTTTATGTTGAGAGTCGAAAACAGTGAGGACACAACCTATAAGTTAAAAGATATCGTGAATTTATTAATTTATTGTTTTTCAGCGTTAATTATTATCAGTCGATCATATAAATTACATTTATTTACATTAAGATGCCTTCTATAAACGAAGATAACCAAAAAGAGCAAGCTTCATATGAAAATGATGATATAATACGGGATGAAACTGAACTTTATCCAGAAAGAAAAGGATCACAACCTCGGAGTTTAATGAATAGAATTTTTCGTATCGAAGAACGTAAAGCAGTGAATAAGTTGAAGTGTGAAATGAATGTTTATAAGTGCATGAAAGAGAGTAAGTTTTCTTTATAACTTCTAACCTTTGTCATTATTGCTTTGATAAAGTGTTTATAATATAGAAATATTATATCTCAGAATATTTTTAATAAATGATACTATGTACCTTTAACACACACATTTCCAAACGTTTTTATCCTTATGCATCCTTTGGGTCAAATTTATTTCACAATATTTGCTTTGCACATTGTGTTATATATTGTAAATTATTGTATATAAATTATACAAATTCAGAAAAGTCATTATAT